TAATAGCAAGTGACTTTACTAGTCATTATTTTATATGTATATTCGGTTTTAGTTAAATTGGCCCTCTCTAATAAATATCTTTTTTATCTATCAAAGAAACATTTTGAGGCAAATCTCAAACCAGAAAGTTTTGGCATCATATTTTTAGTTTTTGTAGCATGTCCTTTTAGGATTCGAGACAAGTTGAAGAATGAGGGAATGTTTACAGTCATTATTGTAGGCAGTTATGTTTTCTAAACCATAATCATATATATGTTCTAAGTTTACGTATGATTTAGCAGGTTCATTCTTCTAACAGGTTCTACTGAACTGTATTTTAGTAAAATTTCAATAATTTTCTTTAACCATTACCAAGGAAAGAAACTCTATATTTGAATATGATTGTTAGAGTTGGAAAGTGCCTTAGAGACCATCTCATTCAAGAACCTCTTTGCACCTGGGACGCCTGGGTGGCTCAGTCGGTTGAGTGTCCGGCTTCGGCTCAGAGCATGGTCTTGCAGTCCGTGAGTTCACACCCCCCATCAGGCTCTGTGCTGGCAGCTCAGAGCCTGGAGCCTGCCCCTCTCTCTCTCTCTCTGCCCTTCCCCCGCTCACATGTGCTCTCCCTCTTTCTCTCAAAAATAAATAAACATTAAAGAATAAAAAAGAACCTCTTTGCACCCATGTGCATGTTGAAGGCCCAGACCACACAAATAGATAGTATTAGAACCCAGTCAAGCATTCAGGTTCCCCGGCTCCTCAGTCAGTGTTTATAGCAGTGGCACGTATTGCTGACATGTGTGCTTGAAATGTTTCAATTTTGCTGTGACAGAGAAATTCTTGTCCCTTATAATGCAATTTCTGTAGAAACACTAGAGGAAACATTAGAACTCGCTCTACGAACCAAAGCTGCTTCTTTCTCACGAGTTCCCTCCCTAAGGAGTGGTAGCAGTAGAACGGGTAGGACGTGCCACTCTGTCGGGTGCGTCAGCAGGCTGAGCGGCACATGGCCCACCTTCCCTCTGTCACAAGCTCGATTCCTGCTTGCTGGTTTTGAAGGACACCAGTGGATACACTAAGAACTCTAGTGTACCACTTCCCACCCTACTTCTTGTGTTTTGATTTGAGAAGTCAGGTCCCAAGTTGTTTATGCCTACGATTAATAATAGCAATGCAGTAATAACAGTCATTCATACTTACGGGGCGCTTGGCATTATTTTAAGCCCCTTTACATGCGTTAAGTCCATTACTTGTAACTACAACCCTCTGAGGTAGACTGTCACAGTCCTCATTCTCAGCAAAAGACTAGCATCTGGAAATTAAGTACCTTACCCGGAGTCACACAGCTTCTAAGAGATGGCACCAGAGTTTGAATGTAGGCAGAGACTCCACAGAGTTCATTGCAACATATTCTATTCTATTTTCTATCCCCAATACCGTAACAGTCCCTCACATTTATGTAGTGCTTAATACATGTTAACAATATATTTGCATTCACAACAACACTGTGAAATAAATGTATACCATTTTACACAGAGATAAAGTACCAGAGAAGCCAACACTGGCATTCAAATGTGATTCTGATCTTCTCCTAACTTTGCTAGACCTGTGTTTTTTATCCTAGTCGTGGTGTAACTACAGAGGAGCCTTAACTTTGTGTCTCTCGTTTTTCAGTCTTTTCCTGGTGTGTATCTCTTTACATTGACCCATTGCTTATTTATGAAAAGGTATTTGGGAATCATTTTTGTTAGGCTCTGTTTCCATCATTTTTCTATCCCAAGCTTTTCTGCTGTCATTCCTTTTCCTCTGTATGTGTTGTATTAGTTGATATATATCTAACTTGTAAGTATGAACCCTCCCCCAAAATAAAGGTTATTATTAAAATCAGTGAAATAAGGACTCTTTGACTTGCAGTTACGAAGATGACCACTACTTTTTAAAACCATGTCTCCTTTGGTGTTTTGAAGGTGGAGTGAGAGTGAAAATAAGCAAAGGGTGGAGTGTGGAGTATTTTTCTATTGCTAACGTAAGATAGGAGGAGTGAGCATAATAGTATTCCTTATTTATATCAGAGGCCTTCTCTTGCTAAGTGATCATCAAAAGCACACTTGGATGAATACTTTTAGTTTTTTGTTTGTATATTTTGCCTCGGACATGAGTAGAAAATTAGACCTTAAACATCATCTGTCTATTTTATAAGAAAAGGACTGCTATTGTACTAGAGTTCCTTATGCCAAAAACCAATAAAAGATTTCTTGCTATATTTGCAGATTCATGGAATTTAGATGTGGTTTATTTTAAAAACTGAGGACAGTAAAGTAGAAGCCGTCAGCCTCCTGGTTCAAATGTGTAGTATTTCTCCTGCATAGTTAACTTAGCTAGTCCTCAACTTCACTCATTTCACTTTAATAATAGAATGGAAACTCTTAGATCATAAAATTATTTAAGTAATCTATGACATAAGCTACCAAAACAAGGGAAATTCAGAACCTATCATGAAACTTCCAAACAAGTAGAATTTCATAAACAGTATTCTGATTTGAACAGCTTGTGTTTCCTACCAGACACAGATTTGTATAGAACAACTAAGAACATATAATCCAAGACTGTTATTGTGACTTTACGTCAGTGTTGTCATGAAAGAACAAAAACGTGAAAAGTTGAAATAGCAGTATGTTCTGCCTTAGCTCTTTGTGGGCTCCTATACGATTAAGTCGTAAGATAAATCCTTGTGTACCATGAGAGAATCTGACCTAAGTATTTAAAGGAGGCAATTAAAGGTTTCTTTTAAGCAAATATAATTCCCTTACCCATATTATAAAAGTAATGACTTAGTTGTCACATAAAGAAGAATAAGGAGCCACATTTCTTAAGTAAGTAGACTAGCTACGTCATGAGTAAAGAACTGGTTTTAAAAATACATTTACTACTACATTTTCTGAAAACTTCAGTATTTCCCCACCACGTTCAGTTTTAAAAGTGAAAGATCTATAAATCTGTGTTACCTCATAAAACCTTTCTGTATATGTTAAAATTTTCCTAGGTCCCAAGAGAATGTTATAAATTAGTTACAGTATACTTAAGTTTAAATCTGTGCCTTTGCTTGGTTGTTTTTAGGAAAAAAAGAAAAAAAGTCTTCCATGCCTTGGGTTAATTTTATTAGTACTGTTTCTCTTCATAGTTGCTACATTTGCCAGCTAGTAGAGAGAAGAAATAAAAATCAGGATTTACTTCCTTTCAGATGGTAAATACATAGAGGCATTAAACTGGTTATCTCACGCACCGAAAATAGCATGAGGCAATGAACCTAAATTTATGAAGCACTGAAGATACCTTAGGTACTTCTAGATTGTGAATTATATTCTGGGAAAAGACTTGAGAACAATCTCATCCCCTGGAGACATCTAAGAAAGGGATAGTTATCTGTGTGTTTGGGGTTTCAGATTAAATGCTTGCCTAAGGACTCAGTAAGAAATGAGGTTGAATGAGGTCCTGCACTTTTCATAGCAAAAAAAACCAACAACAACAGAAAGAGAGATGAGAGTATTTCAGATGCAGTATTGCATGGACATGTTATCAGTTTCTTGTAAAATATGTTTAACAGAGATCCTCCCAGGATTTAGAGTTTGAATCTTTAAGGAAAAGACATGTAAGTAAAGTTGAAGAAATCTTAGCTTTACAATTATTTGCTTGTTGAAGATTCTTACCATTTAATGCCTTTAGTTTTTTAAAAGAACAGAAAATCCCCAAATCATAAAAAACTTGTGTCTTTGATGTTAAAGCTAACTATTGGTAACTAGTAATTTTATTTTTAACAGTTCTTTCTCATAATACAATTAAACAAAGCCCTCAGGTAGAATATTGAAAGAAACCTCATATGTATGGTTACCAAAATTATGTCTATCTAAAAGTATTATGTATTTTTGGTCTTTTAATCATGTATTTAAGTAATTGGTTCTTCTGGGTTCTTATTTTCTACTGTTACTGCTGACTACTTAATACTTCTGTCACATTTTATTTTTTTCCTTAATCCTAATCTATGAAGTTTTAGGTTTTTTTGTGTGTCAATAACTTTGCTTTTTTAAGTAATTCTAGTTATAGCAGTTTTAATGTGTGTGACCCAAGTTAAATTCCTGTTGCATGTAAACCTGGAAAGTTAGTTACAATTTTGAGTTTTTGCAAGAGATACCATAGACTTACCTATAATCTTTACAAAATTTCTGCTTCATATTGGGTTATGCTATAACTGGGGAATTGTTCTAAAGCCTTTAAGTTAATTTTGTATGTTCTTAGCTGTGTTTTGTAGCTATACTTTAAGATCTCTAACAGTATGCATAAACTTACACACTATAACTGCAGGAAGAGAGACTCATGTTTACAGCTGTTTTCTTTTGTTTGTATCCCTTTGTTTTTACTCACTGTGTTTTCAGCCTTATACATTTAATCTGTTACTTGTTAAAATTTCTTTCTAGTGTCACTAAAGTACTTGTTCTCTGAAACCAAGCACGTATCTACCGATGTGTAAGCATATACACCAAATGTTATTAAAGTGAACCTCATATAATGCATCAATCACCACA